GTGTGGGTAAAGTGCTGACTGCACAATTGTTACGCCACACTCGCATTCAAAACACCACCACGATTCCGAGTGGAAGTCGAAGGCGGGGCGTCAACTCAAACGGGATTGATTGACGCTATAATACTTTATTCTTTGCCTCTATACACTGTTTTTGGATGTATTAATCTATGCATGAATCTTTTTCTTATTATGTTTTCATTTCTGTGTTCAGCATGGCATAAAGCAGTTCTTGGATGCCTCATTGTTTCCCTTCTGTTCGCCTCACTGGCCCTCTGCTGTGGACTTTGCGCCCCGTGCAACGGTGGATGCGCCGTGATTTTCTCTATATTTGTCTTTCTTGCACGTAAGTTTAACCATTACAATGCTTCAATATGCCTAAGTTTTTCAAGTGCTTTGAAAAGAATTCAGCCAAGCAAAAAAGTATAAATAGGCGTAAAGTCAGATCACTGATAATCATCAGTGGTGTGTTGTAGTTAGAAGACCAAATTATGTAGTTTCTATCTTACACACTAGAAGTCTGACTACTCCATGAATGTTTCTTGGGCGATTTTATGGTGCCATTTAGGAATTTTTCATTGAACCTTCGCTTTCATGCCGTTTTAAACTTGATATTTCAGTGTTTATGGCTGTGATTGGTGATGGAATTTTCTTCTTCGCTGCTCATCGGGTCGACAATCGATTCGTTCAAGGGCTTGTAGGGACATATGAGGTAAGGTAATCATCAGAGCTCAGCATTTCTTACCAAAAATGCACCCGCTCCCACTTATTCTTAGCGCCAACTATGGCTAAAAGGTTGAAAGTCTTTTTTTCGAAATGGCTGTGATTGGTGGATTGTTTTCGTCCACCAATCACAATCCGCCTAGCCCTTCCTGATTGAGTGGATTGGAGATTGTCATTCCACTTCGTTATTCTGGGGTCCTCTCAAGAATATCAGGAGATCCTCGAATACAGGATGTTGCAAAGGGAAACGAAAAGGGCTTTCAATCAGGTCCGCCATCTATATAGGGCTGGACAACCTCTATCGTTCTGAATCCCCTTCAATGTAAATCCCCTTTGACCGGAAGCCATCGTAAAAATAGTAGACTAGGAGTCCTTCACAATGATTACATTTTTATATTACTGATTACATCGCTTTCCTTTACTCTCTTTACAGAAGTTCTATTTTCAGCAACAAATTGGTGTCGCTTTCTATCTGCACGGTGCTGGCACGCTTGTACTTATGTTTGGATTTCTTGTGGCAGTGATAGCATCATATCAAATTCTACGGAAATCCGAGCTATCAAATTCATTGCCGCTACGGGAACTTGCACCACTTTACGGATCTCGAATGAGAGAAACATTCGCCTAAATATGCATATTAAAATAGGTTCAATTATAAATTACTAAGCCTCGAGGAGGTATATACTTGTAGTTACTACTGTTTTGCTTATTTTTGCTCTTTGCGGTCCTTCCCTTTGAAGTTCTTTTTGTTTTTGAGACTGCCACTTTGTCATTCACATTTTGCCTTAATCACTCAAGGGGATGCGGGTATGGCTCAACTACGAGCGAAAACTCAATTTTTGAGCACCCATTTGGGGTGCTCATTTTTCCATGGCTGAAAACGCGATTAAGAAAATATTTCAAGAGAGTCATCGGCCTCGGTCCGCCAGAAAAGGGTTGGTGATGTTGGCGGGGATCTGGTGTATTCCCTGATCTTGGTGGCTAAATACCAACGTCGATGGCGAGGATCACACTGAGCCTTTCCGATATTTCGGGAAAATTCAGTGCCATTCGAGAGGGAGAACTTAGTCGACATTATTTAGCCCACCTGAAGTCGAAAACAATATCTCATTTCAGCCGTTTCGCTCTGGGGGTGGGACTTTCATTGAGGGGCGGAGCGGCGGCGCATGAGGGCGGGATAAAAAGTAGGAACTTTTGTCTGGGGGCACATTATAAGTTGCACCTGGGGGATCGGAGCTCATCCGAAGCTGGATAACCTAATCTTGGGAACTATCTTAGCATAAATCCGTCCCCGCATCCTCCTTCTTCATTCCATGTCAACGTTCTTTATGTTTGATCTCTTTTCTGCTACAATTCGATCGAAGTATCGATTAAATAAACTCATTTCACATGTTTATACTATTATATTTATCACATATGGGAAACTGAACACGATTATTCGTGCATGAATATGTTGAATAGAAGTTTAGATCACAAATCTGAGAGGCAAAGGAGGAATAACGAATGCTTTTTGTACATTCAATATATTTAGGCAATACGGTGAAGATTCTGACCTATTAAGTATAATGCCAGTACAGTTGGATTAAAATGCTATACAGGGAGAAAATCGTCTTCGAATAAAGATAATTCAATAATTTTGATTAATTTATTTTATAGTCGTTGACAGCACCACGTGTTGTGTTCGATGATCACTTTCTTTTCGTCATCATTTGGCAGAATTCTGAAAATATTTTTGGAAAAAAATTTTCCAAGGTAGTGATGTAGTAAGAGAGCACTGAGGGATTATTAAAACCTGTTCCCCAATTAGTGGACCGTTATATGGCAGATACAAAGTAATTTGGTTGTAAAATGAAGTAAAAATCGATGTATTTATGATAAAGGACTAATCCTATTTTTTTCGCCTTCTATTTATGCTGTTGGGATTGAACGGCATCCGAGTTGCGAGGACAGCACTAGTACGTTTCAGATTTGCCCTCTGTGGTCATGCAGTAGGATAGAGCGCAGATTAGACGATGCAGCTGCCTATCCAACCATTTAGAACCCGTCCATTAGGAGGCGTGGCAACCTGAGGAGGCGGGATGATGGATGCCCTGGCGCTTAATCATGTGAGAATGTTTTTGATATTGCTCCAACGGATAGCAGGCAAAATGTTCACATCCCAAACATTATTTTTTTAACATTATTTTTACAAATAATTTTTCTTATATGGTCTATTAAAGTGTCTTGAGAGAGCATTTCAAGTGATGCAGTCAAAAGTGATGTCCCCTCTTTGGATGTGAGAGATTTGTGAATCGATTCATCAGTCTCTCGAAAATCTTCTACACTGGTCCAATCAAGAGGATTTCATAGGTCGTCTTTTACCCCACTAGCGCTAACCATGAAAAGGGTTTGCGAGTTAGTGATTGGGATATGGATGTACAGTATTCAATATTCACTGACGTGTACAGTGATTATCTCACTTAGAGAGGATGGCAGTACAGTCAAAGCGGATGGTTCATCATCCAAACTTTCAGAAAAAAAAANAAAAAAAAACGATGCGTGGAATCATTGATGCGAGAGCAATTTTTTTGAGCGTCTGTAGCACAGAACGTCATTCTGCGTAACATTTCCGAAAACACTAGGAAGCCACGCCACTAGGAACACAGGAAGTCGCCTATGGGTGACTCATACTCCCAAACAATCTTGCACTTGTTACATCTATTCCCACCAGCTACACTTGTTTTGCGGTCTAGTAGAAGCAACCGACGCACATCTCCAGGGTGAGCTTGAACTCGTGAAAAATACGACAGAGGCTGAGCATGACCTCGACTTCCCGTGCATAAATCAAATACTGTTAGGTAACAACATATGAACCTTATTATTGATAAACATGACCCCAAACTTGAGAACTTCAGTGCTTACGACTACCTACCAGGTTGTGAACCGTCACCCCTCCACTGATCGGAAAATGACCATATTTCGTGGAGTTTGAGCCTATCCCATATTACCCTGTCTGTGTCACATTCGCCAACGCTGCACCTTTTTTCTACAAAATAACTTTTTGTAGATGAAACTAGTTTTATGGAGCCCACCCACTGACTGTCGAGTTTTTATGGTATCGAATTAGAGTACTGTAAATTTAGTGGCACAGTGTTCACCTTGGAAATTGATTTTCCCGTCCCTGTTCGAATCGACATGCTTATAGATAGCCTTTATATCCTGATCCGAGAGTGAATGACCCATACGTTGGAATGCTGTCCGTAGTTCGGATCTGAAAAGGGGGAAATCCTCCTTCCTACATTAAGTCAAAAGGGTGGATAAATCATAGTAAAGACTGAGGTAACCTGACCTGGTAATGTATCCGTCTCCGTCAACGTCCAGCTCTTCAAAAACTGCTTTCAGAGATAGTGAAAGTGGATTGGCATGAGCAATTTGAAGGAATTCTTAAACAACATCGATTAATAACTTGTTCTAATTATTGCTGTTATTTTTCGACTGTTGTGTAGTTAGCTAGAGATAGATACGCCAATTTTCATTACGAACTTTGGAAGTGTGGACAAAAAGCTGTATCAGCTGTGGGTCGAAGCTATCCCTAGGTTATTTCAGAGGGTAAGTATTGCAGAGGGCTTCAGGGAGCTATATGGGTAATCGATCCGCCGCACGCGGTTTTCGCGGACCATTTGCCTCGTTATATAAGTTCTTGCGTTCTTCATATACTTCTTCATATAGCTATAGTCAATATGCAATTATTACTTATGGCATAATCCTACTGTTAGTTCCTTTGTTCCCGAATTTCTTACTTGGTGCTGCATTCTGCTACAATCTTTCGCGCGCGGCGTCTCTCGCCGTGACGTGACGATTTCGTTCCTACCGCACCACACACAGAGAAGCCACATGATCTGTACATTTACCACAAGCCCTACATACTCTATAAAAAAACAAACACGTATATGGGTTCAATTTAGTGCTCAGTCATGGATTCTGACCAAAATGAGCACAAGGTCCAACCAGATACAGTGAGGACATCCTCATAGGATGAGGACTTCAATTACCGCAATCAATTTCAAGTTCATTTTTTCGCCTATTACCAATTTTTGGAAGTTGTAATGATCGCAGTAATGTTTTGCTGATCTTGACTATCTAGAAACCGTACCGTTAAAATCAATGTTTCCGTCGTGATCCTGGTCAGCGGCGTTGAACATCGCATCAAGTTCTTCTTCCGTAGGCGACTGTCCCATCTTTTGCATGACTGACCGTAATTCATCCTAAATCGAAGGATGTTTACGTAAACAAACAGCAAATTTATCAATGTCAGTTCTCACGACTATTGTATCTTCGAATGTATGCAAAATATTCATAAAAAGCCCAACAAAGAAAGTCTACAAAAAGGCATAATGAGGGGGTTCTGTCGAGAGTTCTCAAGGAAAATGGGAAAAATTCGGAAAGGAAGGGGAAGACGAACCGGCGTGTCCCACTTTGATCATAAATCGGAAACAGATTTACCATATAATACTCATAAAAGTTTATCTTATACTGCTTAAGCTTTTTTTGCCTTTACTTGCCAAACTAGAAAAATAAGTAAGTTAATAGTACCGGCTGCTACGCTGGGGGCAATATTTCATTACTTTGAAGAAAAAGAAAATGAAAAGAAAAAACAACTTATATGTATGAGCTCGACAAACTTGTTTCCAGAGTGCCTTATTTCTCAGGATGACTACATAACATGTACTATGGCCCCACAGTACTTTCAGAACATTTTCTGCCCCGTTGTTAAGAAAACTATCTCATGCACATACTGCTTTCAAATGAGCTAAATTGTAAGAATGTACTTTTGAAACTAATGTAGCTGGCTTAACGTTGAACAATTTGGTGCACTTGATGAATAGTGGGGCTTTGAATACATGACAAACGAACCCTCTGAATGAAACCATCTCCGTTCAAGTCGAACTCGCGAAAAATTCCTTTGAGGTCATCGTCGCGAATCTCACCGACATCCTGAAACAATTACAATTCAATT